AGTCTCTGAAGTTTATCGATGGTAGTTGGAATGAATGAGAGTGTTGTATTTCGAAGTTCAAGAACTGCGAGATTAGTAAAAGAATCTAGCGTTTTTACATCTTTGAGAGGATTGTTATTTATACGAAGTATTGCAAGACTGGTTGGAGTTGTGAAAGTAGGTATCTCAGTGAACAAGTTATCGGAAATATGTAGACAATCGACGTCGCTTCGGAATCCATCGATTTTCGATAAACGATTATTTTCAAGATAAATATGTCGTAAATCTGGCATGTTGCTGAGACTTGATATTTGAGAAAGTGAACAATTGTTTAAGTTTAGCGAATAAAGACGAGTCAAAGATGCGAATTGATCGGTTAAATTAGTGATCGATGAATTATAGATGTCGAGCGTGTATAGTCGCTGTAAATCTGCTAATGTATCTGGTATAATACCTAGTAGAAATATACAATCTGTGTTATCAATTCATCAGATTAAGATGGTAACTCTATTACCATTTGCAAAATTCATATTGATGATAGTCAATTGATCAAGTTTTTTTAAGCAAAATATACTTTCTGGAATAATACTACCTGTGTCTATGAGTGTGAGTGAAGAGACAAAAGTATTCGTATTGTCCATTGTAGCAATGTTACTATCCGAATAATGTAACATAGGACTGATCATGATGCAAAATGGAAAATCATACAAAATTTCATAGTCATTTGCATATTGTCTACAATCTACAGCTGACTTGCTATTTCTCGTTTCGATACCTACAATGTATGAGATGATAATAAATTATATTCTATAAACAAGATGAAATGAACTGACCTTTGTATCCACCGATAATGTGTGATCGCAATGCTTCTACATTACACTCTGTCATCGAACACCACCAGCATACGATGATAAGCAGAAAAACGATCTTGTATTCATTCATGTTTTTATTGTTGTGCTCAGTACTAATTCTTTTTAAATCACTGTCGACATTCTCTTCTCATTTCGCTAACCTTTTCTATATATAAGATCAAACGATGATGCATGATTTTAATCGAAAATTGACTTAGAATTAATGTCAGTTATATCAAAATCTTATTAAAAGTTTGAAAGAATGTTATTCGTATCTGATTCATTCAATAGATTTTTATTAATATAGTCAATCAAAATATACATTAGTTAAAAACGCAAAGTAATATTCGGATGACTTATGTTGAAGTATGATGTAATTGTTTCGATGTCTCGATCGGAGAATGAATTGTTGTTGACATAGACAGTATTGAGTTTGTTCAACTCAAGAATATCTCTAGGTAAATAAAATAGGTTATTGGAAGACAAGTCAAGATATTCTAGCTTCTGCAGTTTGTTGATAGTAGGTGGAATGAATGACAGTGTTGTATTGTGAAGATTAACTTTTTCTAAATTAATAAAAGAATCTATCTTTAGGATACTTTTCAAAGGATTATTGCTGATAGAAAGTTCTTTCATGTATGTTGGTGTCTCCACAATCGGTATTTCCGTAAAGAAATTGTTTGAAAGCAATAAACTGTAAATGTTAGCATTTAAACCATCGATTTTAGATAAACGATTCTGTTCAAGTTGAATATATCCTATATCGGACATATTACTGAGATTAGGTAACTGAGAAAGAGAACAATTGACTAAGATTAACCAGTAGAGACGAGTTAAAGACGTTAGTTGATTGGTCATATTAGTAATAATCGTGTTAGTAATCTCGAGACGCCGTAGTAATTGTAGATTTGCCAAACTACCTGGTACAACACCTAAAGACATCTTTGATGAATACTTTCAAACGGTGATAATAATTTTATTACCGTTAGTAAAAACCATATCTTTAATGATCAAATATTTTAGTTCTTTTAAACAAAAGATACTTTCAGGAATAGTGCTATTTGTATCTGCAAGTGTAAGTGAATCGACAAAAATACCTGTACGATGCATAGTAGCAATACTCTTATTCCAACCATTTGTTTCTGGATTGATCATGATGGGAAAGGAAAAATACTTGAGAACTTCATAGTCATTTGCATACTGTTTACAATCTAGAAATGGCATGCTACCTAAAATGTATATCATGATGATAAATATTGTTCTCCGATCAGAAAAAAACTAAATTCACCTTTGTATCTCCCAGTCATGTGTGATTGGAATGATTGTTGTGATACTACGACACTACAATTCATTGTCCAACACAACCAACATACGATGAGACGCAGAAAAACGATTTTGTATTTATCCATACGTTTTTTTTGTTGTGTTTACAAATTTGTTTTAAACGACTCTCTGTATTCTTTTCTCGTGCGCTAATATTTTTGTTATATATAATCTATTAATCTATAAAAATGTCATTTTATACGTAAATTGACAACGATATTTGCATATTCTTTCGTCTTTTCGAAACGAGTATTACCTTCTATTAATGTATGATGTGGATATTAGTTTTACTACAGTTTGAACTGAAAAAAAATAGTCGTATTTACGTATTTAATTGTTATTGAAATTTTGAAACATAAACTTGTTTTCTTTTACTTTTGGTTAAAAAATAATATTGATAAAAGATAAGGATGATTTTAGATGTATGATGAATATACAATCTTCCTGTACCTTAATTCTATATAATTTTTATAAGTTTAATTTTTTAATTCTAATTCATTTTTTTCAAAATCAAAATTTTCAATCTAGACTTACTCAAAGGAGGATATCAATAATAACTTATCTGACATGATTTATGTTTTGTTTAAAAAAATGATTGATTAAATTTCATTCATTTTTACATTTAATATATCGATTAATATCAAATTAATATTCAATGATAAAGTCACTTTCCCTCTATAATAGATCATACAGTTCAAGTATTAATTATTTTTTTTAAATTTTTAACATGAATGAATTTTGTGTAAAACTATCGAGGAAGGATGGGTGTGGATATAATACTCATGCCCACACTTAAATATACGACTCAGTCTACTTCATATTCTCTATAACTCAATAGTGTCTTTAGAAAATACATTTTTATTTACATTCATCACATTTTTACATATGAAAATACTCTGCAAAATTTATCATGTATTCTAATTTAATATAAGATTTATTATCGATCGTATTCAAAACCCTCCAGTCATCCTTTGTACAGTATGTTGACTCATCTCGCTCTGTGCAAAACAAACAGAAAAATAAATAAAATAATACGGTTTGATCAAGCGTGAATCAATAATGTAGGAGAAAGGTATACGTCGATTTATTATCTTCTATTAATGCAACTAGCAAATGTGTTTTTTTCTCTATACGTATATGACTGGATGTATATAATAAGAATAAAAAGGTGAAATTGCATGCACACACATGGGAGCGATAAAAACAAAGTAAAATGTATATGCGTCTTATTTTTTTTAATAATCGAATGATTTTATATTTTTGTATTTTTGAAAGTTTTTTTTCATATTTCTTATTTTTTTTACAACATCCCTGAATAGAATACAATTCTTTTGTTGTTATAGATTCGCCGACAAATAACAATAGTAATATATCACTACTGTTGATCGTATATTGTCTCTAACAATAATATCATCATTTATTCAAAAAAGTTTACAATTTCAAAGCAGCACTTGCAAAATTTCACTTACTATTTTATTGTCACTCAGTTCAAGAATATATTCTGAGTAATAGAGCACAGTAAAATATAATCAGTGTCAATTGGAAACTTGCACTTTTTCTTCTTCATAAAATGATGTGGATTATCAAGCACATTCCTTGTTGTGTGTTTTCTCTGTGGGTGTTGGCTGTCTTTATTGGTTTCATATTTTATTTTTTGCCAAGACCCGTTGTTATTGGTAGTGGTATTATCGGTTTCGTCGATGACTCAGGTACATAGAAAAAAACTGATATTACTGCACTAGTAAAGGAATATCTAAATGATATTGTATTTAGTTGATAATCTTTCTTTAAATAAGTCATATTTTTCGAACTGCTAGCAAAGAAACTGATAGATCATGAGAACACTTGTTCGACAAATAAAGCTGATCTAGATATTCATCAAGGACTATTAGCTAAACAGTGTTTCATCTCAAAAACGATTCAAGTGCTTAAAAAACTTTCTTTATTTTTGTATATTATTATAGCGTCGACTCTGGTGAATATCAGTTATAAGACGAACATTCAAAACAATGGTTCACTGGTCGTTTCGGATCTGCCAGGACTTTCAGCACAGGTAACGATATATAAGTTTGTACGAAAGAATTGACATGATTTTTTTCTTCGAAGATTGCTCAACAATACAGTTGCTCGCATAATATGGTTCGAGTATTTTCTGCGAGATTCATACAGAGTCTGATTATAACACGACGAAAGCGGCAAACGTAAGTCTTGCCATCTATCATCTACTCTCTTTTTCTACTATTAGTATTCAGACATAAAGGACAGTATGTGACGCTTTCATTCATTGTTATTTCCTAGTATAGAAGACCGATTTGAAACAAGAAAAAAAAGAACATATCATTCGTTACGAGTTATTCGTTAAAACTTGACTGAGAATAATGTTATAAAAATTTTAACTCTTGCATGATATGACTTACTGAAGCATATCTAAAATACACAAATATTGACATATCTTTTCTGTCTTCATCTATAGACAGAAAACGAGGATAATCGGAAGAGTAGTATATCAAAAATGTTTGCCTTTTCTGATATGATGAGAATCGAAGTCATAAAATGAAAAATAAGTCGACAAGAAGACATCATCTCCTGTTAACACTGCATCTTTGTTTTAGAACATTAGTCAATAATGATACGAGCAACAACACAGTAAATCTTTTTCTGATTGTACTCAATATCACATATCCAACTAAATGCAATAGTGTTAAAGCCTGCAACGATCGTTTCGTTACTGGTATCGAGAATACGATCAGAAGAGGTCCGTCAGAACTTGTTTTTCATATAACATTTACTAGTGGCCTCACATCAGATGTCAAATTTGTTTTCGACGCACTAAATCCGAACATAACAATGGCATCAACTACCAGTGAGTATTAATTTATTATTTTAGATGAATGCGTATGTTTTGATAGTTATCCACTAGTAGCTAGGTCAGTGTTTGAATTTAAAAATGAAGCTAACGAGTGAAGTTTCTATTTCTTTGGCCAAATAAAAAATGGTAATATTGTGGGCAATTTTTATTGTATTTGTGAAATAAAACTTTATCCAAAATGAATTAAAATTAGAAATGCGGCATAAATCCAGTGAGTTTCAGCTAACCAATCACGATAGAACGGAGAATAATCCTATTTTTTGCTCTACTTTTGAATTTTTTTTACGCTCGATTACCGTCAATAAACTCCCATATTTGTGAATATGGCATGAAAAACTTTTGTTGATGTTAAAGTTACGGATACTACAACTATGAGTATAGTCATAACAGCAATGTGAATCATATCTCTTTCAATGTTTCAAAAATAGAAGATAAATTAGGGTCTCTTCAGTAATCGGCAATCACTTTTTCTGCTGAATGTATCGCGTCTCGCATGAGAACTGTGGCATATCTCAAATTTCATGATATATGATAGCACTTGAACTTGAAATAGTATTTTGTATGAAGAATAATAGTTGATCTTTAAGAAATAATATAGACTACATTGAAAGAAAAAAACGATCAGATTCGATAGTCATTGAAAAGTGCTAGCAAACACAAAAAAAACACCTTTTCTTTCTGAATAATAAATTCATTGAGATTGCAATGCAGTTTCTGTGAGAGATTCTCAGTAGACGTCAATACAATACATTTTCTATTTGATATCAAGTCATTAGTATTCTTTTTGACAATTTATTTTTATCTTTATAGCAGCAACAACAACAACAACTCTTACAACTACCACTAGTAGCACAACAAGTACTAGTATAACAACTACTAGCACTAACACTACAATTACTACAACAACTTCCAGCACTAGCGCCACGAGTACTACAACAGTTATTAGTACAGCAATTAGCAGCACTACCATTTTGAGTACTACAACAATTATCAGTACTACAACAATTATCAGTACTACAACAACTATCAGTACTACAACAACTACTAGTACAACAACAACTACCAGTACTACAACAATTATCAGTACTACAACAACTATCAGTACTACAACAACTACTAGTACAACAACAACTACCAGTACTACAACTACTAGCACTAGCACTACGAGTACCACGATAACTACCAGTACAACAACCACCACGTCAACCGCTCCTGGTAAGTATTGAAATTACAAAGTATGATACATAAATCTCTGTAAACATCTCAGAATTTCTTTCCTATTAGTATTAGTTTTGAAAGAGTGGATGTGAGTGTAAATGTTGGAATATGGATAAGATACCCGCACCCTCTATGATAGAGCTAGCCTATATCGACTTTTGAGCACTACAGTCTATTGTGAAGAAATTAGCTATAAATCGTTCTAGAAATGTCTTTTAAGATTCTACTCCAGCAAGCGAGAGAATTTTTATCGTACAATACACCGAGAGATAGAGCATCAGAAGCTGAGCAAATTGAGCTATTTTTTAAAGTATTGTATAACATCTATCTAATATAGTTATATAAGTTGAAGTAGTTGTTAGAAAGAGTATACAGAACGCAACAAAAAGTATTCGCCTCGTCACACATGCCAAAAAATAATTTTTGTTTGTAATAGCTCTATGCAACACAACATACATGGCACAAACAACGTATGCAACTGGTACAGGCCCGTTCGGCTTGGCAGCGGTTGATGTCAATAACGACGGTAAACCGGACATTATTGTCACAAACGTGAATAGTAACAATGTCGGTGTTCTTCTCAACACCGGCAATGGTACGTTTGCTACACAAACAACTTACCCAACTGGCGCAAAGCCAAACAGTGTGGCAGTGGTTGATATCAATAACGACAGTAAACCAGACATTATTGTCACAAATCTTAATAGTAACTATATCAATGTTCTCCTCAACATCGGCAACGGCACATTTACTGCCCAAACAACTTACCCTACGGGCGCCGGTCCATACGATGTAGAAGTGATTGATGTCAACAACGACAACAAACCTGACATTATTGTTGCAAATGCTAATGGTAATAGCGTTGGTGTTCTCCTTAACATTGGCAATGGTACATTCACTTCACAAACAACTTACTTAACTGGCAGTACCCCGTACTCTCTGTCGGTAGTCGACGTTAATAACGACAGCGAACCAGACATTATTGCTATAAACTCTAATAGTAACTACGTCAGTGTTCTTCTTAACATTGGTAACGGTACATTCACTCCACAAACAACTTACTTAACTGGCACCAATCCGTATGGTGTAGCAGTAGTGGATGTTAATAGCGACAGCAAACCGGACATTATTGTTGCAAACTCTGGTAGTAACAACGTCAGTGTTCTTCTCAACACAGGAAATGGCACGTTCACTGCACAAACAACGTATTCAACTGGAACCCTCCCGCTAAATGTGGTAGTGCGCGATGTTAATAACGACGGCAAATCCGACATTATTGTCGTGAACTATAGTAGTAACAATGTCGGCGTTTTCCTCAATACAGGTAATGGTACGTTTACTACACAAACAACTTACACAACTGGCGCCAATCCACGAAATGTAGCCGTGGTCGATGTCAATAATGACGGCAAAATCGGCATTATTGTTGCAAATCAAGGAAGTAACAATGTCGGTATTTTATTGGCTTGTTAAAATTAATTCATAAACTTAATTTTATTTATTTAATAACATTTCATTCGTAAATTGAGTATATTACTTATTAATCAATATATCTTTTAGAAGAGGCAGATTGTCATTCTATATTTTATAAAAATCTTTTTTCACTATTCCGTGTACAAGAGTGTGATGGGTGGGTGTAGAGTGTGTGTGAATACTATCACTGCCCCACATTCATCCTCAAGATGTTCATGTAAATATTTCGAAATATGAAACAAAATTTCAGCAGATAATTGATCAATCAATTGGTTTTGTTCATCTTATATGATAATTGATTGTAATGAACGTGGATAACAATATCGAATTGACAACAGATGTTCATATAATTCTTCAGTAGTAACGGTATTTGTAGATACACCAGAATTAGGATATTCTTTTAATTCATTTTGTTGTGCTTCACGGAAATAATTTAAATGAACGAAATAATCCTCTTCTTCTTCTAGACATATTGCGAATCCGAATATTGCATCTACTCTCTTCACTAATACATTAGTTCTTAACACAAAACGTTGTATTACTTGAAATCCACTTGCTATCTCAAATGCAATGGCTTCTTGTAATATCTCATTCTTGAATTAACGCCACTTAGTTTCCAAATACCTTCAATATTAAAACCTAATGGTTTACTATTTTGTATAAGTTTTGTTGCTTTATGACCGAATTTTAGATGTCTCCATCGTATTCGAGCTAATCGATCATCTATAAGAATTAATCGTGAATTATTTCGCTTACTAATATCACATTTATCAGACATATTTTCAAATTGTTCTTTCTGTATATTAATCAGAATTTCATTACATTCATTTGAAGTAAGTGAACTTCCTAGTTCAATTAAAACAAAGATCATCTTGATGTTTGATTTTATGTAATTTGTTAATAACGAACTTGTAATAAGTAAATCTATATTTTCCAGAAACCGATGTTAAGACATTCTTTTTTCATATCAACTTTCGATCTTTTGAATATAGAAATAAATGAAAATCAATTATAAACGAGAAATACATTATATGCTATATTAGTGTTTGTTCGTATTCTTGTTATTTTCCTTCTTCTTTTGTGGAACTGACGTATTATTTTAGAAGAAAATAATGAGTGAATACGATGAACTACAGATATCCATTAACATCCTTTCTTAATCTTATTTTAGAATTTCTTATTTTATAAAGCTCTTTTTCTCTTTCGATCTCATTCTCTTCATTATACGAGAGAACAGAAGTAAACCACGTGAATCTAATATAAATTGCATGAGAAGAAGGAAGAAAAAAAAGGACAGACAAGCGACATGTAAAGAAGAAATAAAAATACATGCCGCTGAAATCATCTACATATTAATGTTCTTTCTTACACCATGATTATGAAACCAAACTGACGTGTGGAGTGGGAAAGATAAAAAATACTTGACGTATTGGGTTTTTTTTACTGGGAAAAAAAAATACCCATTATTCGCCTGAAGAATATATATAGTAGCATAAAAAGAGAGTTCTTTCTTCAACTTATTCATTTAGAAAAGAATAAACAGAACAGAAAATAGTGGGAAAAAACGGTAAGTTAGAGATATTTCTTCGAGTTTGAAGAATATTTTATAGCAGCAATTAATATTTTTTTTTCATAGTTTTCAAAGATAATATGTCTGCCACGAATAATAAAGCTAAACAGACATCAAGACAACATGAAACCATGCATGTAAGTAATTGAAAGCTATATTAGAATGTCGGTCTGTAAATTAAATCTCTGTCTCTCTAGCAAGCAGTGAATCAACAAACAACTGCTCTTACATCGTTAGTATTGAATGCATCGAAGGAGCACAGTACAATTCCAAAATCAGTTCAAGCAGTAAGAATAACATCTCAACAAGATATGGTTGATGTCATTCATGTTAATCATTTTCCATGTTCATTTGCTCATGATCTGACCTTCTACCAATACGATGCTATTGTTGAAGAATACCATGAAAAACAAAATAAATATATTAATCTCAGCAGTCGAGAAAAACGTCATCAATTCGTTTCCAATATCCTGCTTGCCAAAGAAATTCACCCAACAGCGATTTGTTGGTACGATGAAGGAAGTTGTCTGTATAGTACAACAAATTTCGAAGACAAACTGCCAGTTGTCTATGAGAAAGAAGATCAAGGATATCGCCGTCGTTTAACAATCAAAAGTCTTACAGCTACAAGTGGTACAAACGATTTAGATCAGTCTTCGATTCGAGTTATTGAAACTTTGATCAAACAAGTGTTGAAACAGCAATTCAAAGTTATTGGTTCAGTCTTCTATCGATGGGATGAAGAGCCACGTCCAGATGGACCCTATGATCTTCTTAATGGCTTCAAACAAGCTGTATGTCTCACAGAATCAGGTCCGACACTGAATGTAGATACCACGATTACAAGATTCTATCCTCATTCCGATCTTTTACCATTTATTTGGGAAAGATTATTGAATCAGCGAAATATGTCTACATTTAATGGAGAACTGTCCGATATACAATATAATCAAGTCTGCAATTTTCTAAGAGATGTTGAAGTTACAACAACTCAATCAGATTATGAAACAAACTATGTTCTCACTGGGTGTTTTTCGAATGAACTTCCTAAAAAAATTTTCCTTGAAAGATCAGGTCAGTTTTTAGATCAATACTACAAAGATCTCGGGTTTGAACTTCGTTATCCAAAGTTATACTGCTTGAAAGCCTATAAACGAAACAGACCACAAAATATAGTTGATCTGCCAATTGAACTTTGCATTTTCCGAGAGTGGCAACAAGCCAAGGAAGACGACAGCACGAAACCTGTTTCAGCACCATCAGTCAGTGACCGATTTCATTCCATTATGGCAGCTATCGCAAGCTGCAATTTTCATGATGATGAATTGTGTAAAGAAATTCAACTGGAAATCAATTGTGACGAAATGATGACAATTCCTTATGAAACTCTCGAAAAACGTCAAATTACTCTCAATCGACAACGTCGTTTTACAAATCCAGTTCCAGTTGATAAAATGGCTTTTATCTATCTGGTTGATCCTCGACAACCAAATATGAGAGACGTGCAAGAAAAATTGTTGAATAGTTTCTATGATGTAAGTTTTATCTACTCATAGCTATACCTCCTAAGAACTATTTTCTCTTTCTTTTTTTAACAGGCAGCAAATCAACAAAGAATGGCATTACCTGAAAATCCTGACGAATATGAAATCGTTGCTGATAGAGATCTAGAACGCAAACTTCGAAATCATTTCTCTGAGCTTAAAAACTGGGGTTGTCAATTTATTCTCTGTCTGGAAAACTGTCGAAATAAAGAGATACACAGTGTTTTCAAACAAATTGCATATCTAGAATTTGGTACGTAAATCTTTAATCACTATTTATGTAGTTGTGATAGATTTTTTCTATCTCTTTTTTGTTCAGGTCTTGTTACTCAATGTGCTAATTTTACAAAAGTTAAACAAATAAGAAATTTAAAAAATTATTGTAGTAATCTCTTGCAAACAGTGAATGCTAAATTAAGTGGGGAAAACAAACAAGTAGCTGAGTTGAAAACAAATACTAAAACAATGTTTATTGGAGCTGATGTTCAACACACGAAGAATAATTATTCTGGTGAATTACCATCGATTGCAGCAGTAGTTGCAAGTATGAATTCTGAGTGTACATTAACAAATCAACGTATTTCTCGTCAATGGCCAAGTAAAGGAAAACAATCAGAAGAAGCGATTTTATTGTTGAAAGAAATCGTCAAACAACTGTTGGCCGCATTCATGGACAACAATGACGGTGCACTACCAGAACATATTGTTTTCTATCGCGATGGAGTTGATGATGGACAATTTGAACGTGTACTGAATGAAGAAGTGACTGCCTTGAAGGAAGCTTTTCAAGGTAAGGAGCAAATTTTTGTGTAACTATATAAATAAGATTAAGTCATGGCAAGATCGTTGCTTTTTAAGTTTAGTTGATTAGGGTATGATGAAAAAATTCTTTTTCTTTCTTTCTAGCCATATATCCAACAAATACGTTTTCTCCTCTTCTTACATTTATTGTTGTTAAAAAACGTCATCATACGCGCTTCTTTGGACTGCCTTGGTCTTCAACGGGTATTATTAATGTTGAAAATGTTGAATCTGGCGTTGTTGTTGATAGTTCCATCATTTGTCCATATCCGAATTATTCCAATTTTTTACTAAATTCCCATGAACCAGGTTTAGGAACGAATAAGATTGGAAATTATGTTGTATTGGTCAATGAAATTCAATATTCACTTAGTGAATTAGAAGAACTTACATATTCTCTCTGCTTTACTGATCAGCGTATTGGTAATCGATTGAGTGAATCAATTCCAAGTGTTTTACATTTGGCAGATGCAGCAGCAAGCAAAGCGAGACAGCTATTTAACAATAATACAAGGTACGGAAACGAAGACTACTTTCTTTTTATATTGCAAAATAAAATAAAATTGTTTTTCTTTTCAGACCATCAAATACAATTCGAGCAGAAATACTGAAAGTTCATGAAGATATACAGAATACACCAAATATGTTTTAAAGGTGTATTAAATTTTTATTTGTTGTAATTCACTTTAGAAAGTTCTTATATTTAAATAAATAATCAAGAGTTTGAAGAGTGTCTCATTTTAATCTTCCGAAGTATTATTTATCTTGATAACTCGATAGATTATCATTTCGCCTAAATTGCAATGTTCAGAATTGAGGGTGTGGGTGTGGTGTGGGGCTGGGCGTTGTTGGCTTCTTCAT